TTTTTGCAATCTGAAACTGAACTGAAGTTGATCTGAACTGAAAATTTTTGGATTAATCTGAACTGTTCAGAGCTTTAGTGGCCCCATTCTTCAAATATGATATCTTGTATGACTCCCATTGAGCTATTTACTAATCTGCCTTTCATCTATACATTTGCTATTAACATGATACATACACCTTTTGCCAACAGTAATTGTGCTTCAAGACCTTTTGCTGCTTCTGAGTTGGCTTGTTTAGCTTCAACTCCTCTATTATGTATACCTATGATCTTGGCAACTGGTTGCTGTAATGATCTGAGTATGTCAATATTAATTTTATCAACTTCTTCCCACTTTGTTAGAATTGACATTGTGTCTGAAAATCTTTCTTATTTATCTTGATTAAGGTTTTCTTCAAATCATGTGGTGAGAGTTTTCCAGTCATTTAAACTGCTTTCTCCATCGCGTAATCTTAGAAGCATGTCTCTAAATTCCTGTTGTACTTCAGAATCACCTGATTGCCTTTGTATAATATTGAGTTTATATACCTCTGAAAATAATTTGTAGGCTGTGATTCCGTTATTGGATAGTTCGTCCTATGAAATGTTGGTAGAGTACATAGGAACGTCGAGTACAGGTGGTAACTGTCTGAAATCCCTAAATAATATGATTAATCTGCCGCCGAATGGTTTGTTTTTTTTCTTGAAAAATATTTACCGCAAGCGTATGTCGATTAATCTAAGCATTCGTTTATTAACGATACTTTTTTCGTCTATGATTATATAATGTACTATGCTCATTCTTTCTTGTAGTTGTTTTAGTCTTTCTCCATCTATATCTACTAATCTTTTGTCGTTGCAGATTGGAATAGGAAGAGTGGAATGGATGGTTGCTCCATTAATATTAAACGCTGCCACCCCTGTAGGAGCTATAACAATTACTGGAGGTTGGATTCTTCTTCGCAGTAATACAATCGAAATTATAACAATCTTGTATTCTGTAATCAAATAATAATGAATTCGATTATTTTATTGTTAGGTTTTATTGTATATTAATGTTTCGGGCGAAACCATTTTTCAAAATCGAAAGTTTCGCTTAAGTCTGAAACTATCTGAAATCCTAATTTGGAAACACTTTGCCGATCAAATTAGGCGAAATTAGTCTCGCCTAAAACACTAATGTATATATTTATTGTTTATAAATAATTACATGAATAAATGGAACATAAAAGCTAAAGCATTACATAATTAAAGTTCTTTTTTGGTGAAATTTTTTTACATTAACGGGAAGTCTGAAGCGAATATTTTTTCCACATCTCCGCCACATCTCCACTACATCCCCGTGTCTTTCACGCTCCGGACTTCACAACGGCCCTCGCCGTTCCCTAGTATAATATTATTATTAAAAGTAAAAAATTTATTATTATTTTTAATAAACATTTATTATAAAATTAAATTAAATTTAAAATTAAAAAAATTTATACATTTTAATATATTAAAAATTTTAACAATTTAAATGATTATTTTTCTAAAATCAACAGTTTACTAATTAATAAAAACAATAAAAATAAAGTAGCAAAATGTAAAGAATTTATATAAGCTAATAATTATTAGAAAAAATATTTCGGTTTAAATTTTTAAATAAGTAATTGATTGAAGAAAATAGCTTTTTAAAGTTTTATCATTTCGATTTATTAATTTATGGATGAAATTCCTATAACTCCTAATTTATTATAATGTAATTGTAATGTTATTAATATTAAAATTATAAATACATCTAAAGTGTATGGTTAGATCAAAATTATCACCCGTCAATTATTTTTCTGAAAATGAAATAATTTGTTCGATGGTCTAAAAGAACTGATCCCAATTTACTTAAAAATTTTATCAGTCCTATTTAATATCTTGAAATGTATTTTTTTTAAAATATAATGATTGGCCTATTCAGTATTTTACATCGGGAGTGGTTTAGTCTGTAGTTACTTCGGCTAGTTTATCTAATGCTTTATTTTAATTTTATGATTTCCTTCAATTGATTTTTTAATATATTTAAAAATGGTAGAAATTTGAAGGTCAATATTTTAGGTTTGAATAAAGCTTGGCAAAACAAGTTTCATTGGACGATTATTATTTTAAAAATGTTAAAAATTCGTTCATAACTCGATTTTAATAACAAACCTTAAATTCTCCCACAAATGTTACACGATGAACGAGTATACAGAACATTTGATCATCATGGAAAAACTCTTGCTTGTTTGCATGGTCTTCTGATTATCTGTATTACCAACAATTATTATTTTTAGTTATAAACTTGTTTTTCACATAAAAAATCAACTTTTCTCACTTGTTTTCAGTTTTTCTGTTTATAAAAGGAATAAACCCTTCATCAGTAGTAATTGTAAATTCTAAAGATAATTCCTTGATATTAAAGGATTGCTATATCAACTTGAACTTCAGGTTTTCAAAACCTATCATTATATATACTCATGATATTGACAACAACAGTAACAAAAGAGAAAGGAATACGGACGCTGATGAATGAAAAGCTTCTGATTGAACTTCTGGATGACCTCACAGACCCACAGAATGACGATGTACATATACAGAACGTTTTGCTGGAACGATGTCTCAATGCATCTAGATCGGAACTGGAGGAGTTCGTTGCCGAGTTGCGTAACTCTTGTATTTATATTCCAACCTTGAAAATCTTCACTTCTCGCCTCTGCGATGAACCTTTACGTTTAAATTCGCAGGCAAAATTGAATGTCACAATTCGCAATCTTGCCTCGCTGTTACTCACCGATGTCATCATGCAGAACCTGAATCATTCTGATACTCCTGGATTTGGAGAACTTCTTCATAACTGCATAGAACTTCTCTGGAAATTTCGGGAAAATAAGCCTGGCTCTTTGACCGATAATAAAGGAAACAATGGGCTCAATTTATTCTTCCACACGACAAAAATAATTTTCAAAGCAATCCTAGATGCACGTGTCCTAGGAGTTTTGGTAACTTCCCCTCCGGGTCGCCGTTGTATCAAGCGCATTTTGTTCGATTTCAGAATGATCAACCAAATTGAACAAGAACAAATTCTTAGTTCAGTGGACATAGTCGCGGCTCTTGTGGAAAAATGTTCTGAACACAAGGAAGTCTCGCCTCGTCAGGAAGAGGGATTTTCCGCGTATAAGGCCTGCACAGCATTGTTAGAAACTCTAAAGAGTCATCAAAATGCGGAAAAAATCTCGCTGGGTAACAGGAAAAACTCATTGCCACCCATGTTGCATGATATGGTTAAGTTTGATAGGTCTCAACATTGGAACAGGAAGCGAGCAGCCACCAGCGCCCACAGCAACTCAGCGAACTCGGTGTCTATGTCTATTCAAGATGAACAGTACCTCAATCTGTTGGGGATGCCGTTACCTCAAAAGCCATCAGATTTGCACAATTTATTGCGAGAACTTGAAAAACGGAAAATAGAATTATTTCAGGTAAGTTTTCTCAGTTTTGATCCAAATGAGTTTAATGCTACTTCCACTATTGATATTTGGTAAATTGACATATCAAACATCGCTTAGGATTTATTGGGATTTTTACCATGCACAAATTGTCATAAACGGGCCCTTATTTCTTTTTTTCCCGACAAATATTTTTCGGAAGAAGAATCAGAAGACAATGAAAGCACACCTGAACGTCTTTTTCGCCTTCCATTCGAATTTGATGATAATGACAAGCTTGGACCATGGGATATCTTGCTTAGTGACGACACAATCAAAGATATGCGACAATTGGAGTCTCCTCTTGTTATTAAGGCAATCATGAAGAAACTTGGACGGATATCATCTGGGAAATGGTACGAACTGCGACGGAAGGTGGAAACTCACAACATTCCTGTATTCGAGATAGAACTCCTTGATAATGATGGCTTGAAGATTCTCTGGCAGGTTGATTGTGGGTTCTCTGTTCGTAAACTTTCATCCATGCAACTTGTTAAGGTTTGGGCTATTACCGCCAATCAGGAACAAATTAACACAATATTAGAAAATCTCTCGATAGTTCATCAAGTTTATACTTCCAAGCACAGTCATTTGTGTACAATCGAAAAAGTGGGTAAGGATGATGTAATTTTACCGATGAAACTCAGCGAGGAGGAGATTAAGTCTTCTGAAGAAAATTTGCATAGCTCACAGATAGATGATGAGAAGTTGCTAGAGGTTCATAAAATGCTAGTTACAAATAAGTTTATTCCCTTATCAACGGTAAAGTATGCATATTATAGTATCGTTAAGATATTAGATTTATCCTAATAAAGTTATAATATTATTGCTCGCAGAACTTATACAAGTCGCTAATCTTGGGTGGTTTTGATTTTACTTTCCAAGTATCCAAGAAAGAGTACGAGATCATCAACAATCCTTCATCAGCGATCATAATTGGTCGATCAGGTTAGTAGTATGGTTTAATTTTGCAAATAGAAGAAAATTTAGTGTAAATTATTTCTATTTACGTATCTGATATCCAGGGACCGGCAAGACTACATGCATCGTATTTAGACAGATCGCTTCATTCTTAAATAGCCAGCTCTATAAAACGACATCCTCTCGTGATAACTGTTACAAAAGACAGATATTTATTACGGTTAGTCACAATCTGTGCCGTCGGGTAAAGGAATATTTTAATAGACTGCGAGAGTCTGCAGTACTTGCTGGAAAAAAGATGAATATGGAGCAGTATCATGAGTATATTAGAAAAAAGGAAGAGGAAGGAGATGATATTGATTTAACTAATCATATAATGCTAGAAGAGGGAGACGAGGAACAGGAGTTTAGTGACGTTCCAGATTCTTTCCGCGATCTGACGGATCATCATTTCCCATTGTTTATTACTTACGATAAGTTCTCTAAAATGCTTCAGGGAACTTACGATATTGATGTTCGAAAGTTAACCAAACAAAAAAAACCAAGTTCATATAACACTTGTTCATATGAGGATAATGATGAGGAATCCAATCTAACATCCTCATTTTTTAACAAATCCGACTCATCGTGGGCACATTTTGTGAACTATGATCTTTTTCAGAAAAAATATTGGCCTCGCTTCAATGACTATAGCCGGAAACTGGATTGCGAACTAGTTTACGCCGAATTTTCTATAATTAAGGTATATAATTATATATTATACAACTAGAATTAGCGAAATGGAATTTGTACTTTCAGGGCTGGAAACTTTCTGTAATCTTTTTTTGGAATTCGAGTTTTTTGGGGGGAAAATATACGAAATTGTTTCCTTTTAACCAACTACTTTTATTGTCACGAATTTAAGGGTTCAAATCCCGAGATGGATTGCCTATCAAGAGAAGATTACAGGGAAATTAGTACCAAGAAATACCCAGCATTTTGTTCGAACCGTGATCAAATTTATGATTTATTTCAACAATATGAAAAGATGAAAGCACGGAATGGTGATTATGATTCGATGGACCGGTAAGATCAGATAATACATTGTTTTTATGTAGATATTTTCAAGCTTAACTTGTTTGGGATACTTTTCGCAGAACACTAGCAATCTTACGTTGTGCCAAAAAAAAGGCACTTGGAGGACCACATATTCATGAAGTGTATATTGACGAATGTCAGGATAACCAAATCGTGGACTTTGCACTTATATTGAAGGTCTTTGACAATGTTGACGCTATTTTTTTAGCCGGTGATATAGCACAATGTATTGCCCGAGGGTCTTCTTTCCGATTCCAAGGTACATAATAACATCCTTTATGAATAAAGTTCGATACTTTGTTATCTGTATTTTCTTAATTCCTTAATACTCTAATGTAGATTTACGCGCTTTGATGTATCAATGGGAACTTTCTCGGATTCAAACTCATCAGAATCGGCGTGGCATTGCAAAACCAAAACAATTTGAACTGAATATTAACTACCGTTCTCATAACGGGATCCTTCAACTTGCCTCTTCAGTAATCGATCTCATCTGGCGTTTTTTCCCTAAATCAATTGACCGATTATCGCGTGAACGCGGTGAAATCGGCGGTCCACGACCCACCGTCTTTGACGGGTTTCGGGAAGAACATTTAAAAAACTTATGTACGGGTGGATGCATGACCGATTATATCGAATTTGGTGCAGAACAAGTGATTATTGTACGTAACGACAAAGCCAAATTGCATTTGAAAAATCTAATTGGTAAAGCTGCACTGGTGATGACAGTGTTCGAGGCCAAGGGCATGGAGTTTAATGATGTGGTTTTGTATAATTTCTTTACAGATTCACCTGCGCTTTTGAAGGTATGATTATGTTAAACATTTTATTTTTAACGACCTTACAGATCACATTGAATTCTTTAGTTAATGTATACTACTTTAGTGGCGAGTAGTTCTTTCCGATTTGAGTGATAAGACTGAGGGGATTCAGACCTTTTCCCACGAGAAACATTACATCCTTTCCTCAGAACTTAAGCATCTTTACGTCGCTGTGACCAGGGCTCGGCAGCATATCTGGATATGCGATGAAAATGCTGAGTATAGCATGCCAATCCGAATGTACTGGACTCACCATGAGCTAATCAGGGTTACCGGAGACATTAATACCTTTTCTACTTTGGCCAAGAAGAGTACTTCACACGAATGGAATCAACAGGGGAAAAATTTTTTTTTACAGCGACAATACGAACAGGTATATATATTCTTCTACAATTGTTTTGTAATTTTTTAATTGAATAAAATAAAATAAATAATATTATTGTTTAGGCAATGTTCTGTTTCGAAAAGAGCGGAAACGAGGAGAGCTACAAACTATCCAGTGCATATAATCTTCAAAAGATTGCTAGAGATTCTGTAAATAATTCTGATGATAGTACCATAAAGTCAAATTTCATTAGTGCTGCTCAGTCCTTTGAAAAGTGTTCCCGACCCACCCAGGCGGCTTCATGCTACATGGTAAAGATATATCTTAAAGAAATTCTATTTTTGAAATAAGTCGATGCTTACAAATTTGTATATATCTAGGATATCCAAATGTATGAAGAAGCTGGTGATGTATACGCCGCTTGGAACATGAACGATTCCGCTGCGCTTTGTTACAGCAAGGCCAAAATGTTTTGTGAAGCGGGCAAGTATTTTGTAAAGGCAAAGAAGTATACTGATGCAGTTATTGCCTATAAAAGTGGTGGTCATTATGAAGAAGTAATTGATTTAATGCAAAGGTAAGTTCACTGACGTGATTCCAATAAAAATTAGGTTTCTTGTTACGTGTGCAATTAATGCTTTTACAAAATTATTATGATTAGGCACAGACAAGAAATTGATGAGAAAATTTTTCACCGTATTACCCGTCTTGTTAACATCCATTATCGTCGGGAGAACAACAAGGTGATGAGCGAGAAGGCCCTCTCCATTATTCCAACACAAGAGGAGCGGATTGAGCTTCTAAAAGACCATGCACCGGAAGAATTTCTGGAGGTCTGTGAGAAAAATGGTCAATTTCGCGACGCTGCTGAAGATCTGCTCTCGCGTGGGAAGTTTAAAGAAGCTGCGGATATGTTCATTCGCTCGATCTTTAAGGATGAAGGTGTCATCGAAGCGTTACAGTGCATTTTACATCTATGCAGATTAAATATATTGAAAAGTACAATGACGGATACGATAAGTCCAAGTAACACAGAGTTGCGCAGACTCCTTTGCAAAGCATCTGAGACGTTAACTAAAATAGAATCACAATGCTCAAAGACATTGAAGAAATCTGAGCCGTGGAAGATTCTGATGAAAGAATTTCGGTTATATGACGCTTATTTAGATGATGATCTCCTTAGAGTCCACAAATGCATACAATTTTTCAGAAAACGCGAAGATTTTGTTGCTGAATTTCGTGCAATAAATTTATGGCTGAAGATTCCCCAACAATCCGATATTCAGTTTGAGTATTGGCATGAACGATTGCAATGTTTGCAGAGGTTGTGCAAAGACTTGGCCTTTCCTTATATAGCTCCACGTTGGGATGTCAACCATACGATGGTCCGCAAGCAATTCGAGAACATTTTTGTTGTAAGCGAAGTGGAAAACCGTAAACAGAAACGGAAATTTTCTTATGACAACCCGCTTGTTCAGTGTATTGGCGAGGATAAGATAGAAAATATGGACTACTGGCATGTTTGTGATGTAAATGTTGTGCACCGGGCGATCTTGAATTTATTTGTCTCATATATATATGAACTCATCTCGAATGTCAACCAGAAGGGTAGAGAGATTCCATACATAGGTAATAGTATTTGCTATAAATATACATCCTGCCAAAGGTCGTCAGATTGCCAAAAACATCACGTAGTTCCGTCCCCATCGATTCTGTACCAACGCCTCACACTTGCATGTCTCCAATACACCGTGATGCGCCAGTGGGATTTATTATATCATCGCCGACTTCTTAAAGAAGAGCAAAGTAAAATTGTTCGTCCCGCAGAAAGGTGGTGGACCGAAAGACTGATTAATTATCATATTCGCTATCAGTCACCGCAGACAAGTTGCCCAGAGGTAACTAATATGGTACTTGCTAATCATAAGTGGTATAAATTAATAAATACCGCTGATAAAATATGGCTAAGGGGTTTATCCGAGAATCCCAGCAACTTTGCGGTCATGTTAAAATGTATGTTTGTTTTTCAGCAGTTGGGGTACAATTGGAGCATTAATAAGTTTGATTTGGAAATGTCAAAATTAATAGGGCTTTCACACCCTAGTAATTTACCCATCGGTTATGATTACTATGGATATAATCAAGCGATTCCAGTCGGAAAGCGACTTTCATTATTCTATTGTTGGCTCTATTCTAGGAATTATTATTGCGTAACCAAAGCGATCATGCACATAAATATATTTATTCAATACGCTATAGATAACGCTGAAAGCGTATACATAAATTCATCTGATGCTTTTTCTGATCTTGTTTCTCTTGTGGAATTCAAAGTGTCTTTAATTTTCGCTATCGCTCCTGGATATTGCAATTTTTGCCTACCTCGGGCCTTTCTCGTTAATTATTTTGACGCATGCACTACGGTGCCACTCATTCCGAATTATCGAAGAGCATACAACAGGGTGAAATATAATGCTGCAATCAAAAATTCTCTAGAACAAGTTCAACAACTTCTCGAATACTTGATCTATAATGAACGGTTCTATCAATATCAGATAATCATCCTTCGACTGATACGGCTTTTGGTTCTTATTGGCAGGAACGATTCCAATTTTGCGGCGAGGGTAATTAATATTTTCAAATATCTGAACCTGAATAAAGAAGTTTCTTCTATGAAGATCAAGAAATATTTGGAGGAGAGTCATATGGGACGCCTTGTGAACATTTTGAAAGATGATCTCAAAGAGACGGACTGCGATTCCCTAGTTATAGTCCAATACCAATGGGGAGGCGTGTCTAGATTTGCTGAATTGGAAAGATCTGGAGTCATGGTACTTAAATACAAATCTGATGAAGGATTCCGAGAATCTCTTTTGAGGATCAAATCACAAGTTGTTATCGAAGGACGTGACGAAACTGGTGTCCTAACATATAAATCCTTACCGCGTGTCAGTGAGCAAAATATTGATCCAATCGCTTTTATTGTTGACAATGATGAAGACGAGGATGATGAACAATTTTCGGTTTCAAAAGATGTCTCAGAACCGGACACAGATACCCAAGCCTGGTTCCGCCAGATTCAGGATTCTCCCCGAGCTCAAGAAGCGGCCAAAAAGATCCAAGACTGGTTGCGCAGAGCTCACATACGACGACAAAATTCTCGTGAATTTGTTCATGACCAGGTTCTTTACAATGACGTAAGAGATTTCTGCCAGGATGTAACCCACTGGGAGTGTGCCGTGAAACAGAAGGGAGAAATGGTAGTACGTCAGTATCATATTCTCTTGAGAGGTTTGGCAGTAAACGTAATTGCGGAGCTGACTAAGCTGCAGGACAAAATGGATAGAATCAAGAATCAATTGAAAAAAAAAATCAATGATCCCTTTACGGATGGAGAGAATCTCGAAATTTATTTGAATCTTGAGGATGACCTAAAGTTAGTTGACATTCATTTGACACTTCTGTTGGCGATTTTCATTTATCATTCAAACTCATTAGAATTTGCGTTTTTTAGGTTCATCTATAACGAGAATATTAGGCTGGTATTAGACTCAATATCAACTACTGAGAACATGGAGAAACACGAAGAAGCGGACATTGAATGGTTGAAAGAAGAATTGCAGCAGGCAAGGGATACCATCGATCACGTTGAGGAATGGATAGACGATAATTGCAATGAAATTTGAACGAAACTAACTATCTGTTAATTTGTGGAACGTTTCTATTACAGTAGTTCAGTATAGAAAGGATCTTTTTTTTTTTTAATATGTATAAAATGTATATAGTAAGGTGCTTGTTATAATTATTTTGTAAATTTATTTATTTTATATATATAAAAATGAGCGTAAAATTAAAGTTCCTTTAAATATTAAACATGGATCGAACAAATAAGAACAAATTGACTGAAATCATCATTTGCATAAAGTAAAAATGATTTTTTTCCAGGAAAAAAAAAAAAAAAAAAAAACTTAATTTAGGTTATAAAGGCTAAACTAATGTATGAAAAAAAGAAAGAGGAAAAAATGGATATCTTACAAAATACCAATTTAGATTTATTTCTTTGGGACAATTGCTTTGCATAATTACAAATAATAATATTACAAATGGACTTTTTGAAAAAAAATAAAAGAAATTTAAACTGATTTATTTTTTATTGGCTTCTTCATCATTTTCATTTTGCCCTCCAGTGAATTTAGCAAATGTTCCTTTAACCGATTGATAAGCATTATCTCCATATTCTTGTTTTCGTTTTATATAATATTTTGTTAGAAAGAATTAAAAAAAAAAAAAAAAAAAAAAAGTGTTTACGAGAGTACCTTGAGCCTGTTCCTGCGCTTTTCTCGTCTGATATTCTGCTTCGGCTATATTTAAAATGATGCATCAGAAAAATCAATACAATTTCAAAAAGCTTATTAAGAATGGATTTTTATTACCCACCTTCAAGTTTGATTGCCTGACCCATCAATTTCATTGAATCCATACCGATAGCACTGCCCACAGCTTCTTCTGCTGCACCTCCATAATATTTAACGTTCGTAGTAATTTTATTCAGTTGATTAGACATTTTTCTTTTTTTTTTTTTATTATTATTCGTTTGTATCTTTGAGAAATTTCACATATTTATAAAAAATTATGATATGAAATGATTGTCAAATGACAACATTTTTTTCCCCAAATGAATATGAAAGTAAATTTCCCTTTTAAGCTAATTCAGGATTTCGCCTTGAGGGCCATTTTCTTTTAAACTAGTTTATATTTCTAAACCCAATTCTTCTAGTAATTACATAATAAATTTGACTTTATGACGAAATTGCCTTTTCCTTTTTATTAAAAACAATAGGGCACGAGTTGAAGGCTAAAAATACAAGAATACGCAGATCACGAATATTCTACTTCACCTTATTCCTTTGATTCTCTCATACCTAATTCCTATTCCTTTTCGAATACAAACTAATGAGATAAAGATTATTATAAAGGACGTAATATTCATACATTGAAAATACTTGTCTCAGAATTTTGCAATCAATACATCATCATATACTTATTATTTTTGGACTGCGCCTCCTGTTATTTGTCGAATTAATTTAATAAAAAAAAATCCGGTTTTTAATTTTAGATCGTTTTACTATTTATGGGAATATTTAATATCCCATAAAAACTTGCAGGTATTCGTGTTTTTCACGTTGCAAAAAAGATTGTATCCAGTTTGTATATCAATTGAAAGACGAAGGATCAATTTTAGATGTTTTTAAAGCAAGTTTTTAGGATTTTACAGCTAGATGATAAATAAATTGTCTTTAAAATTATTAGTTATAAAAATAATTGAATCTATAACTAAACTTACTGCGTCACAAATGTTGTTATGAAATTAACGTTCCGCAAGATCCTTTCTTCAGCACATCCCAATTTTCTTCATTAATTAATTACATAAAACCTTGTAAAATGTGACATACGTGGCCAGCATTTATTTTTACAAAGCGCATAATCTCACCTAAGACGTTTTAAGAAAATTTTTATTTAAATATAAAAAAATAGCATGTCAGATGTACCTAAAATATTAAATTGAATCAAATACAATCAACTTTATATATTTTTGTCATCGAATAGTAAAAACGTATAACATTTGAAAGAAAGTTATAAATTATCATCCTCTTCAGAATTTGATACATCACTATCTTCATCAATTTCATACACGCCTTCTCCATAAACATCATGTTCCCATTCATCCTCTTCAATAATATCAAGGTTTCCAAACATTTCTTTGAGCTCGTTTGTTGCTAAAACTTTTTCCTTTTTCGTACGATACATCTAAATCATCATTTCTCTAACCTTTTCCTTATCTACTTCAGCGTTATAACTCTGAATAGGATCGGCCTTTGCTAATATCCATTGTCGTATCAAATTCACTAATTCATTGTATTTCGTCTTTTTCGATATTTTCTTTCTTTCAAAACTTGGTGATGCTGATATGCGACGAAGAACCATGTTACCACTTGTCCTTGTCCTTGAAGAAACATCCTCCATTACATGATCATTATCGTTACTTCTAGCTAGGCACGGGTAGACGGACTCATTAACTCCAAACATTGCAAATGAAACCTGATAGGATTTACGAATCATTTCCAAATGAGTGATATCCTCATGAATTTGTAAATGATATTTAGCTTTCCTTAAACGTTTTTTCCACTCATCATCCAATACTTTATCTCTTTTTAATACTGATTTTACAATAGATGTCAAATTGTTATTTAAAAGATTATGTTCAGATTTCAACCCTAAAGCAACCTTCTTTTGTGTTTGGTTCAAATGGATGGTCATATGATACACGTTTTAATAAGCCACCACCAAAGCTTAAATAAAGAGAAATATAAATATTGCCAGGTACCAAATCCAAATTACTATAATAAGCTGAAGCGGCAACATTTGCATTAGTGCGGTAAGTGTCTATGGAAACTCTAGAGCGAATGTAGTCAAACCCTCCAACCATCTCCCAATAAATGTACGTTGAATGCTTGCTTACCTTGTAACTTGAGGTATTCGGCTTCTATTTCTACATTTAGGTTTGGGTTTTTCAGTTTAAATTCGTGATAAAATCTAGCATAATCAAGTATGCTTGAATCCATATTTTTGAGAAATGTGTGTGGGTATACTAAAAATCGAAAGACGGCAGTCGTTAGATATAGAATCACGTGATAATACAGTTAATCAGGATCCCGGGTCCAATCACTATTTTTGAAAAATAAATTTATTTTTTTAAAAAAAAAAAATTTAAGCATCTTTTACATCGATTTTTATAAAAATCTTTGAATTTTAAGATTTAAATGTAAAATCTACTGATAATGATAATTATTCTGCCTATAAATGGAAATTATGTCTCATTCGTAAAAATTACAAGTGATATTATTGTAAAAAGGCTTTCAACGACTTACTATCCCATGTAAAATTTCTAAAGAGAAAGCTATAACAGATTTAGTTTTGATCTCATATAATATTCCGAAACAAAATTAGAAAGACAGAAGACCCACTTATCATTATATCTATCTACTCCATATTGGACGAATGTAAATATTTTCAATTTTCGAATGCGCCAATATACTGCGCCAATTTGACAGATTATAAATCGGGAGATCTAAAATGGTCAGTGCGTTACAAATAAAAAAATTATGCCTATCTTAATTTGTCGCACGAAGATCGACACGCATGTGATAAAATTCTCCTTTTAAGGGTTCGGGTTTAAATTATCATTCTCTTTCTCATAGTTCATACATATAATGAACCCATCAGTTGAGCTTAAATATTAATTGTCCCAATTTCCGATATGATTAGATTCTTTTAAAAAAAAATGGAAAAACCACTTTTTAAGAAACTACGATTTGTTTACTTTTTTGTTTTATTAATAATATGATTTATAGGCGAATTTTACTTTTGAAAATATGCTGAAAGAATATATTAACAAACTTATTGATATATTCATAAAAGATGAATTTTTATTCAATAAAAGACAAGATTTAATGCCTACTCAATTAACAACAATGTCCATATTAATGCTAAAAAAAAAAAACTATATTTCATATTATGGAAAATTTTTAATGGTAAATTCATCTTCGATTATTTTTTTATTATCCCTTAATTTTTTTTTTGAAAAATATAGATGAAAGTACAATCATTAATACTACAACAATAAAAAAAAAAGATCTCTTTCGTCAACCACTTATGATATTCAAATTAACCGCAAGGATTAGAACTAATTTCAAAAAGTTTACAGCTGATAAAATTTTAATTAATTCTGTAATATATACAGTCAACTCTCTATAAATGCACCCTCTATAAATGCACAACCCTTTATAAATGCACCTTTTTTATCTGGTCCCAACTTGAGCCTTGGCGCTAAATGCACGTTTTTTATATATATACTCTCTCTGTAAATGCACTCTTATAAAAAAATTTTATATAGTTTACCTTAATTTTAGATTAATATTAAATAGATTTATATATATTCTATAAGTGCACACCCTCTCCTTATACCTAATCCCAAGGGGAGTGCATTTATAGAGAGTTTATTGTACTAAAAATTTATAAAAGTATTATTTAAGGTTTTATTTATTAGCTTAAAATATATGGTTAATTTTCCGTGATATCGCAAAAAAAAAAGATCGCTTACACCATATGGGTGAACACGATAATAAGTATGATGAATCGTTAACACGCGGTCGGTCCTAAAGTTCGTTCCTTACATTGCTGAAAACAAAGTAGTATTTCTATTCTTTTTACATAAATCGTCATTTTTTGGTGAAAGTCCTATTTATTAATAATATATCATAAGATTTAAAAATGCAAATTTAATCGATTCATATGTATATTATATAATTTTCGAATCATCATAATAAAAAAAATATTGATAATATGGGACCTTTGCAATAGAAAAGGGGAAATGGCTGGAAAAAATAAAAAATGAGTTAATACTAAATCTGAACATATTTTGACCTAAAAATCCATATTTGGCTTATAAAAGTAATTTTAATTTTTCTGGCTGTTTCCCCCTTTTATATTGCAAAGATCCCATATCATTGGAATCACTACACCTTGTTACGAACATTAATGTCATAATGTGGGTCCTTTATCTAATTAAAAAATAAAATTTTTTTTGTCTGAATGATAGGTTATGTTTAGTGATAAAAAAAAAGTTTTAGCCACAAGGTTTGTAAATTTCCACCACACGTGACCCTAAATAATTTATCACTCGCGCGGATAATTTTGGCCAAGTTCAATTTGTTGATGTTACTGGGACCGACGTTTATTATGTAAATCGAATAAAAGAAAAATTATTCCTTAAAATGGCAACATTGGAACAGCAATTCGAAATTTTAATGAAGAATATAAAAATATAATGTTGAATAAGTTCGAGAAGGGAAAAAACAGGAGTGGTTAGATGAACTGGAAGCGAAGTTCGATAAAGAGGAATGGAAGAACGAGAACCAGAAGAAGAATTGGGATGTTAAGATAGAGAAGTTGAAAAGAGAAAGAGGAGTTGAAGAAAATAAGAAATAGTTGGGTAGAGCAGGTAAAGGACTGTGCGAAAGCATTAAGAGAAAGAGAAACGAGTAATTAATGAACAAATATCGTAAAAAAAAAAAATATACAAAAAAATTATTTTCCATTCATTCCGTTATTTATTTGATGTACTATTTATAACTTTGACTTGCTATGCCGTGTCATTTTTCGTCTTCTCTGTCATAATACCGAATACTTATTTCTTGTGCTTTTCTTCCTCGCTTCTTATTATCAAACGTGCCCAAAAAAACAAAACCACGTTACCCGGTAATTGTAATAAATTCTGTCAACGCAAGTGAACGTGAAATGGCTTGTCTTTGCTCCATCTTTATCCACGTTTTTATATTGCTAATACTTATTTAAATTATGTCTAATAATATTGAATTCAATCTTCGCAACTTATTCCAATGGGTATGTTTCTCATTTCTTCGTCTTTTCTTATCACTGTTCTTATTATACAATTACATTATTTCATTATCTTTAGATATAATTGATGAGATAAAAAAAAGTTAGTTCAACCTCCCGGTCAATTGATTAAAAAGAATTTTCTTAATTATTTCCTTAACGAAAAACCTGAAGTGAAAATACCGCTTTGTCCTGCTAATTTTTCTCAAATATATATTAAGGGTCCAGGATGTATAACTGAAAAAGAACGAGATACTTATTTTGTGCAAAATACAAAGGAGGGGGGTTTACGGAGTTTTTTATAAAACTTATGAGACATTTAATTTACCCTCCTTCAGTTGGAATGAACGAAGATTCATTTCATGCGTTTTGGGACGGTATTATTAAAAATTCGATAGAAATTTGGAAAATTTTATTATTGGCTTGGAAACAATGAAATTCAATCGAAATACTAACAAAAGAATACAATTAAATTTAACAAAAATTTACAGGTCGCAATTGCCCAGACATGGTTATCCTAGTGAGAAATATTTGTCCTTTTCGTAGGGAAGAAAAAGGCGGTAGATTCTGATGAACCTTCGAAAGAATTAACTAAGAAATTCAAAGAATGGATCTATGGGGAATGCTACTGGTCATTTGTCACTTTTGTTGCTTTGAGTAAATATTAGGTCATCGGAAGTTAAGTCTGAAATGATTTGTGAATGTAATTTAAAAAGCTTTTCGCATAGGATTCGCGTTATGAATCTCCTTCGGAATACTTGTGGTTTAAATTATTTCCATAAAGCGCTGAATCATATTATTATTAGGTCGTACAGTCCGCGACATAAATATCCGGAATTTTATCGGTAGCACGAAAAAAGCCCCTATACCGCCAATTTATGTCTGA